CAAAGAGTTACATCATTCTTATTACATGAAACTAACTGATTGACATTGATAGATGTAGGTATCTTCAAGTACTTGTCCCCACGGATGTACAGATTTTTCACCCTTTTTCCTAAAATGAAGCTATCCTTGGATAAAGGGGCCTGCATTGCACAAAATTCATCAGTAAATATGATCCAAACTTTTAACTGATTAGTGATTTTGGCAATGGATATGAGATTGTGTCTGAATTCTGGAACATAGAGAACTTCACGAAGATTAATGGTGTTGTGAATTGGAACATCTCCAATCTGAAAAACCAGTAAGGATTGACCATTTGGCAGTGATATGGAATGTGGTTGTGAGAAGTTCATTAATGAAGAGAACAAAGTTTTATCCGAACAAATATGATCTGTTGCTCCCGAATCAATAATCCATGACGATTTTTCACCACTTGAACCAAATAACACATTAAAAATATATGACACACGATTTCCAGAAGAATCGATATATTTACCTGCAGAGTCCATTGATCCATCAGTGATCACAGAGGTGATTTGAGTAGATCCATTGTTATTGTTCAGAAGTTGCATCAATTGTCTGTATTTCTCAGGTGATATAGATTGAGAATTATCAGCAACATTGTTTGCCATTGAGTCCACCTTCTTTGACTTTGTGAATTTAAAATCAGCTGGAAAACCATTAAGCATGTAACATGTTGACCTCACATGTCCTGTCTTCTTATAGTGAGAACAACTTAGATTTCTTTTTGATGAATGATTGACTTGCATCGCCATGGCCTCAGTAACAATATTTGGATTAGAAGAAATCTCTCTCTGTCTTTCTTCATGAATTAACAAAGAATGAACGGTAGCAATATTAGGCAACTGATTCATCATTAAGATTTGTCCTCTTATAGCTTTATATGAATCGTTTAATCCCATCAGTAACTGAATTAAACGTTGTTCTTCCATGAATTTGTTGAGAGCAGCAGCCGATTCACATGTACATGCAGGAACTTCTTGTATCATTTTCAATTCATCCCATATCTTCTTTATTTTTGTGTAATAGCTTGAAAAATCCTCAGATCCTTGATTAATAGAGTATAATTGTTTTTGAACTTGATAAACCAAAGCACCATTGGATTGAGAATACCTTTCTCTTAATTCAGACCAGATCTCCTTTGCTGTCTGAAGAAACAGTACGCTTTCCGCAATTTCTTTGTTTAAAGAATTCAAGATCCAGGAAATAACCATTGAACTAACTCTATTCCATGAGTGAATGAGATCTGAATTTGCTTCAGGAGGATTCAAAGAACCATCGACAAAACAGAGTTTGTTCTTCGCTGAAAGAGCTAGAGTCATCGATCTCTTCCAAGCTGCAAAACCTGTTCCGTCAAAGAGTTTTGACACCAGAATCGTACTCGGATTATCAGAAGAACCGAGATAATAAGGACTTGAAATCTCAATGTTAGATCCATTGAATGCATTTGGTTGATTTGGAATAGAATTTGACATGATTGAAAAACAGAGATCAAATGAGATGAACACAAGACAACGAGAATGAAATCAAAAAAAAGAAATCAGGAACTTCCGCTCTGATACCATGTTGAAAGATGAATCAAGAATTGATTGAAAGAGAAAATGAGAGAAAATGATTTTCATTATTAAAGAATAACTTTACAATAGATCATTATATACAGAAGAAAGGAAAACATTGCTTATTAGTTACGTATGACATGGTACTTCTATAATAGAAAGTATAATCGTTAACTTGTTGACTTAATCGTTGACTTGTTGACTTTTCTTCTCCAATACCAACTCCATTATTCGGCTGTGAAGCGGAGAGTGCGTCGATTCACAGCCATGATTCAAATTCTCTTTCTCATACTCTCCGAGATGGCATTGATAGTGTTTTTCGTGCTCAAAACCCCTATAAGGAAGCTTGTTATCAAGTCAAGCGTGGTCAGGCACCAATCGTTGTAAAGGCAGTTGGATCAACTACATTCTTCGTGATGATGTCTAGTGTGTATACCGTATAGTGTGATGCAGATCCATAAACGACGGAACAGAGACGACGACGGCGATGGCTAACTTAATCCAAGTGATTTTGCCCCCAAACATCTCCTTGAAGCTTCTCTAATGGATACGCCTTCAATTTCGTTAATTGTTTTAACCATGATTCAGGTGAACGGTCCTCCCTTCTGGCGACGCCTTCTTCTAATCACATTTAATGAGTGGCTGGTGAGATCCAGCGAAACGAGATCTGATGGCCGCAAGACGAGATCCGGAGGCGGTGGCTGGTGAAGCAAGATCTGGTGATGGTTCGGGAAAAGTGGATGTAGATGTAGGTAGTTTTCTATGGTGGGAGGTGATGAAAAAACAAATCTGGAGAGTGTAAAGGTGACAGTCGGGTGGTTTCCAAGGTAAGAGGTGGAGGGAGATGCCAAATAAGCAGATTTGGATAGAGTGAAGAGGTGCAGGTCTGGTGATTTCAGCGGTGTTACGGTGGTTCTGGTGGTTCCGACAGTGGTCCAATGGTTGTGGTAGTGATTCAGACAGTAGTCTGGTGGTCCAGATCTAGAGAGAGAGAGGGGGGGGGGGGGGAGAGAGAATGTATGTGTGTGTGAGTGTGTGACATATTGATATCAAATTTGTTTAAAAAAATATGGATATAATTAATTTTTATTACCCAAATACCCTGAAGGCAATTAGAAAAACAAAGGTGCGTGTTTTTTGAACTCATAAGCTAAAAAAATATTCTCAAATGTTCTCAATCTCAAAAATGTTCTCATTTGAACATACACCTATATATATATATATATATATATATATATATATATATATATATATATATATATATATATATATATATATATATATATATATATATATATATATATATATACTAGTGGTGTACCCGCGTAAACCGGCTGCAACGAATGCAAGCGGGAGGTAAGTAGTCTTTTCCAGGAATTAACTTTCTTTTGATATGTGCCATGTAGTTTTCTTTCAGAAAATAATACCTTTCGGAACACATATCGAATGGTTTTGTTTTGCTAGTAATTTCCCTCATTTTCTCGGGTTTTTGGATTTTTGATTTACATGAAATAGATGAATCTAGTTCAATTGCCATAAAACATACGCATATAAAGTATGGGTGAGAATGAAAGTCGGGTATACACCTTCAGAAAGGGAACCCAGTTAGAATTGCCAATTCCATAAACGGGACCCATGTGAATGGGACTGGTTCTTGTTCCTAAAATTCTGTATTGATCGGTTATTTTCTCTCTGAACATAAAAATATTATTTGATCAGATCATTGAATCAATTATTTCTCTTGTTTCTCTTCCTTTGTTTCTCTTTCTATTGAAATATCTTCAATTTTTATTTCTACACACATGTTTTTTGGGGGGTCTACAACCATTATGTGGTATAGGGGTTACATCCGGTATGGGAATCAGTTATTATATTTATAGAGCCTTTACCCGATGGGCACTCGACAAAATTGGGTTTCTTAATGAAAAAGCATTTATAAGTATAAATGAGTGATCTTTTAAGACCAAAGTTGAAGCTTTTGTAGGTGTTGTGGGACAATAATCACATAAGACTATCATTCCAATCACGAATTAGTTTATCTCAAACAATAAAAATTGTCCCAACCTGTTGTGGAACCCGGTTAGTGCACCCCGATAAAGGTCAGGTATTCTCTATCAAGTCGGATATGAAATCTTTAATAAGATGTTATCTCATTAATTATTAATATTATGATGGTATGAACTTACATGACAAAATGATGACACGACCTATACCTTGATGACCAACTACATCAAAAGTTCTTATATAGTTATCGAAATCTAAAGTTATCCCACATTAATAGTCAAAATTTCAATGTCATGGTTAACACATAAATTTGTTGAACCGAAACTGGAATGCAAAACAATTAGTGTATGTTAATTATTTTAATTAGGGCTGTAAACGAACCGAACGAACACAAACGAGGCTTGTTCATGTTCGTTCGTTTAAGTTAGCCGAACAAATAAACGAACACGAACGGATAAATGAACGAGTTTTCTTGTTCATGTTCGTTCGTTTAACAAATTACATTATTCATGTTCGTTCGTTTATGTTCGTGAACATACTAAACGAATATAAACCAACGAACATAAATTAACAAAGATAAAAAAAAACATAATTGAAGATATATGAACATATAAATGAATATATAATACACTAATGTAATCAAACAGAATTAAGCATATGTGAACATAAAATGAACTTATATGAACGAACATAAACGAACAACATAAACGAACGTTCACGAACATAACTGAACGAACGAGAACATTGTTCATTTTCGTTCGTTTAACTAAACGAACGATAATTTGTGTTCATGTTCGTTCGTTTATTAAATAAACAAAAATAAACGAACTTCCTGCCGAACGGTTCACGAACAGTTCGTTGAACGTTCAGTTCGTTTGCAGCCCTAATTTTAATATTTAACACAATTATATATACAGATTAATTGAATTTATGCATTTTTTTGGAATGAATCTACAATGTAATGATATTTTGGTAATTCAATTTATTTTGGTTTTTTAAAACCAAAAATAAAGATTTTAGATATTTTTTTTTAGTTAGGAAAAAATAAAACAAATAATGATGGTAAATAAAAGTAGAATTGTAGTCCTTCAATAGAAATAAGAGCAAGATACATGTGATCCAGGTGGGGATCATTTTGGTATTTTGGTACCAATATAAAATCATCATGCAAGAAAAAGCAACACATCGTGTTTCTTTGTGCAGATTTAAAAGCCATATCCCTTGGTTTTAGAACCGTATTCCCAATATGCTTCTATAATGTCCATGGCAACATGACACATATACATATCTTGTGCACCCATTTTGTGCATACCCAAACAAAAGCACAAATATGAAGAAAAAAAACTCAGTCCTTATCAAATCACAAAATGGAAGATACAAAAATAAACTATAAGAATTAAAGTGAAAATCAACCAATAAATTTTTAATAATTTCATTTAACATAATCAAACCAATAGTAACAGAGCATCCAGGATATGAAAATTTTAAGGGTTCACAGCCTTGTATCTGTAAACTACATTTGATAGAAATGACCACCCAAAAAATATAAAATAAAAAAGTTAAAACATAAGGATAAGGTCCACAACCAGCAAACATAAGATGTGAAAAGTCATTTGTAAAAAAAAAAGTATGCATAAAAATGCAGAGAAAAGTAACATTGGAGGAGAGAATTAGAAATAATGAAGATGATACCATGTTCTCATCTTATATTCGCTCCTGTCAAACAATATATGTATTCTCATATGTACCATAAACTAAGTCATCAAAATATAATTAATTTTGTCTATCTAACAGAATCATAATAGTCAAAAGGAAAAGAAATTTTACCATAATGTTTACAAAACACATGTAACTGATCCATTGGTTGTTCCTGTTCGTTGTGCTAGATCTAAACACACAATCGATAAACAATAATCAAATTTGTAGTTACTATGACATATTTCAACACTTGTTGAATCAAAAATCCATAAAATAAGCAAATAGGGTAAGAAAAAGATGAAGGCGTAGAACATTTACATCTAATGGACAATACATCATTTCCCTTACAAAATCACTTTTCCAATCGTATAACCATCTCTCCCAAAGAATTTTTTTTGTGCTCTGTACAACCTCTGTAGGCCATCGACTTGTATAAGCTCTATGTTGAATCATCATCAACAATTGATACCATTCTCAGGTAATCTGATAAGTTGGAACAATAGAAAAACACAAAATTAATGCATATTTACCTAATCAATATGTATTCTTGATCGGTGCAAGGTGTTGGGTTTCTCGATTTGTTGAATATGAAATCATCAATTGTGGAGAAAAAAAGAACCTGGAAAACTAAAATCAACATAAACAAACAAAAGAAATTGCAATTGAGACTAATGGAAAATAAAGAAGAAGCACTTGAGAGTTAAGATACCAAAATTCCTTTTTCTTTTGGTGTGGTTCGTCACTGGAATAATGGTGTCAGGGCAAAGACTCTGTGAAGACGGCATTAAGAGACAGATAGTGGAGGAAACCTAGGGTTAGGGGTGTGTGACGTTGGCATTGATGGTGACGGGATAGGGTTAGGGTTTCTCTTTTCGACAAAAAGGTTGAAGCGGGGTGACATATGGGGTGGCGAATGGCGGTGGCGACAAATGTGGACTTCAAAGGCGTTGATCATCCAGTTGAGAGGGAAGAACATTTGGGTGTTCGGTGACCGACTTCTAGGTTGTAGTGACAACGTCAGAAAGGTGGTGGTAACTGAGGCCTGCCGGAGATTGAAAAGAGCAAGTAGAGAGAGACGGAAGGTGGATGAAACGGGGACTGATTGTGTGTAGATGATATTAGGGATTTCTACCGTAAGTTACAATGAAAGGAGCGTAGACGTTTTCATTGTATGTTTAATAAAATTGCACATGATGTTATAATAGGAGTACCTCTTAATTTTCATAAAACATCAAATATGTTTTATATAACAATAAAGATAAAGATATATAAAAGAAAGTATTGAGATAATTAGATGATATTTTAAAAATTACATTTGATGTCATGTAGATTATAAGAATTTATGTCGGTTTAAGTTCATGTTAAACCGGAATTATGAGATCATAGTAGTTGTAGTTCAAATTTAATTAAAATCCAGATGACTATTATTAACCGAAATAACATTAGTGATCAATCTGAAAGAAAAAAAAAAAATCTTTACTGGTGTTATTCCGGAGAGATATCGAGCTTTACAGAAGCTTCAATTCCTCACTGCTCTTAATTTAAGCAACCAGAATCAGTCTCCAAGTAACTACTCATCAAAAAAATAAATTTCCCGATGATGTTTCCAAAGGTTTTCACAGGAAGGTGAAGTCACTGATTGCCAAGAGTAGTTTTAGCATGAAATGACTAAAATACCCCTGATATGATGGGCATGTTAGGCGCACTGAGCAGTGGCGGACCTTAGTGGTGCCCGGGGGGTCCCGGGCCACTGCTCCGATTCCGGCACGTAGTGTAAAAAAGATTTTTTTTTTAATGTTTTTTTATGTTTTTTCTATTAGGTGCACCGGCTTAAAATACGAGTGCCACTAATAATTTAGATTTTTTCGGAAATTCTTTTTTAATGTCACCTCTACTAAAATCTTCTGCGTCCGCCACTGGCACTGAGCCATCCAAGCAGTCATAAGGGGAGGGACTGAATGTATTATCTAAACATGTAATAGGAACTTATTTTTTGACAAAAGTAAGAAACCACAAGGACCATAAATAAAATCATAAGAAGTTAGATGTAAAAACCCACCGACAAACACAATAACCATCACCTCAACAATGAAATTTCAATATCATGCATGTGATGTTTCTTTTTCTTTCTTACTTTTTCTTTTGCATGATCGTTTAAATCTGTTAAAACATTAAACGTATGGTATATAAACTTGGTGACTTTTAAATACCCTAATACTCACGCCCAAAATACGTGTTAGCTCAATAATTTAATTTAACATTATAGTAATGTTTTAAAAACCGGTTTTTTAGTTGAACCGGTATGATGACCGGTTTCTGGTTGAACCGGTTCAACCGCCGGGTGAACCGGTTTTCTATATTTTTCATGTTTTTTTCTATTTTTCTTACACACACACACACACATATATATATATATATATATATATATATATATATATATATATATATATATATATATATATATATATATATATATATATATATATATCATGAATTTGATGTTTACAAGTTCAAACATTAAAAATACACATCAAATTAAGTTGTAGATGAATCCAAATACATTAAAATAACACAACCATAAGTTTTAATGTTTTACATTAATTCATATACGTGAAAAAAAATATATATATATAATACCGAAACGAAATATCGTTTTAGATGAATACAAAACATATAAAAAAACTTTATAACATTTACCATATGTTTTTATTTAAAGAAAACTAAATAGATTTGAAAAAAAATCACCAAAAATTATTATGTAAATGTTATTTTTCATGTGTTTTTATTCGGTTTAACCGGTTCAACCGGGTTTTTCAAAAAACCGGCCGGTTCAATCCGGTTCAGAAATCAGTGTAAAACCAGTGATAATTGAACTGCTCTCTCCCCCGGTTTCCGGTCCAACCGGTTCGACTGGCCGGTTCAAACCGGTTTTTAAAACATTGCATTATAGTAATGGTTAATAGCAGGGATGTACCTAGGGTAAGCGCAAATAATTTTCCACTTGAAGTTTAAAAAGAAAAGAACTGAACAACATATTTGCATAAATGATAAAAAAAACATATTACTTTTAAAAAAGATAACAAATGAAAATTAAAGCTATATAAACTGAAATGAAAGCAAACAAACTTTAAAGAAATAAACAAAAGAGTTGCAGAGAGTTAAAAAGAAAAGATACTAACGAAATTATAATCAGAGAAACATAGCATGTTAGAAAACGTAGGGTTTGTAGTGTAGATCTGGATACCAACTTGGACCGTGAGAACAATTTTCGAACTAATATTTCTACCATATGTCTGGGTTGCAAGAAATTCAACCTAGGATAATCCAAGTGGACACTTACGATTTTAGGCACAGAAATCGTAAGCCAAATTGCTAGAAAGATACCGTGAAAGTTTGATGAAAACGAGAGCTAATATTTGTTTGTCTCTTCTGAGAAGGAAGAACCGTTTATATAATAAACGAGATTAGGGTTTCATTAGGGTTGGGCTGTCATGAGTTTCTTTGGAAGCAAGTAAGGGTAAGCCGGATTTTAATGAGGATTTAGGGTTACCAAAACTAACGAGTTTCGTTAGTTTTACCATAATCACCCTCAAGAAATCTAATTTCCCACTAAGTTCCCATATGTAAAATTCGGAGACCCTAGCCAGGGGCTCTACCCCTAGGACCCCGCTAGGGGCGCTTCCCTTAGTCCCCGCCAAATGGGCGTTGCCCCTTTGGAAACCTCGGACCCAGGGGCGCTGCCCCCGGTCCTCCGGTTTGTCGTCGAACCGACTTCTAATTTGATCTTATACGTGCGTGCATTCTGCACAAAACCCGAAAATATATATTAGAATACAAATTATGAAGCCTCTTAGCTCACATGTTAATTCCAGTTATATAAAATGACATGGTGACACTAAAATCACCAACAATCCTCCCCTATTTTAGTGTAACCCTTGAACAAACATAACCTTATCAAACAAACCAAACTAGTACATAATGAAAATATCGAAATGAATGAATTTCCACTTACTATCATACATTTGCAAATACTCGAGAATCAGGGTGTTCTAACAATTAAACCCATCAACCCATCTGAATACCCGAAAGTAAAATACATACTAGTTTATTGAATTTCTAGCAAAATACAACTTGACACTATTATAAAGTCGTATGTCCCAATCCTCTCATGATCGTATCAAGGCCAAGACCACAACCTCTTGAAATGCGCCTACACTTCACAATCACGTAGGTAACTCCTTTTCATGTATTTGCACATACATTTATCAAATGAATTATGAAGAAGTTAAACTTCAACCTGGCTAACTTATAGAACCGAACACATACTTGGGATGAATACTTCATGTGTTCCAATCTATAAGTATGAGCTTTCCACATTGAATTCAACTCCTAACATTATATTAGGAGGGAATTGGGTGTCTCATCATTACAGAATTAAATGGACTTTAATCCCATCCCGATTACAGACTTGTGCACTAAGTTTCTTGTCAGACCTTTAGTCAAGTAATCTGCCAAATTTTGTTGCGATTTTACAAACTCAACAAAAATCACACCATTCATGATTAGTTCTCTAATCATACTATGTCTAACACCTAGGTGTCTAGACTTGCCATTATAGACCTGGCTATATGCCTTAGCCAAAGCGGCTGCACTATCATATAGGATAGAAATAGGTGTTATCGGTTTAGACCACAAAGGAACCTCATAGACTAAATTCCTTAGCCACTCTGCTTCTTTATCAGCAGTTGCTAACACAACAAACTCAGATTCCATTGTCGAGTTTGTAATGCAAGATTGCTTCTTGGAAGCCCAAGAAATGGCACCTCTCACAAGCAAGAATACCCAACTAAAAGTTGAGGAATGGTCCTCCATGTTGGTTATACAACTTGCATCTGAATGACCTTCTAAAACCGAAGGACTCCCCAAGTAACTCAAACCATAATTCATGGTTCCCTTGAGATACTTAAACACTTTATTTACTGTTTGCTAATGTTGAGCACTGGGATTACTAGTGTACCTGCTCAATTTACACATTGCAAAAGCAATACCAGGTCTGATACTTGTCATGGCATACATCAAGCTACCAATAGCCTTAGAGTATTCCAACTGTGAAATGGGAACACCATTATTTGGCATTAGTTTCACACTTAGATCCATAGGAGTACTCACAGGAGAACAGTCGGTAAAATTAAATCACTTGAGAATTTCTCAATATAATGACTTTGAGTCATTACCAAACCTTTGTTCATCCTTTTAATTCTCATTCCAAGAATTACATCAGCCTCTCCTAAGGTTTTATGCATGTTTAGATGAAACATCTCAAAAATACGGTCCAAAAATTTCATTTTAAATTTATAAATAATACCATGGTAACCCAAAACATCTCATAAAAACATAAATAATAGTATCTCAAAACACCATATCAGAATACTGTATAAAAATCGAATGTATAAATATCAGAGTGAATCCTCCCAGACTAAAAGTTGTGGTGTGTGCAATGCAGTCATCCCGAGCTCTTCCCCTTACTAGCGGAAGTACCTGAAACCAAAACTGAAAACTGTAAGCACAAAGCTTAGTGAGTCTCCCCAAACTACCACATACCATACACATAAACACATATAACATACATTGGGCCCTGCCCTGCTACCTCGGGAACTGCCCGACATCGGCCTTGTCTGGCATCAGGCCCCGTCCGGCATCGAGCAAAGCTCGGCATACATATAAGCATAACTACTAATACACATAACATGAGCATAATCACCTAATTATAGACATATAAACATTCCTCGAGCCCCGCCCGACATCGGACCGAAATCCGGAAGCATACGAACATTCCTCGAGAACTGCCCGGGATCGGACCGTAGTCCGGAAACATACAAATATAAACACATGCAAGAATTACAAAGACATCAAGCATACTAACATTCTTCGGGTACCGCCCCGACATCGGATCGAAACCCGAAAAATATATAAACCTACATCGGGCCACGCCCGGCATCGAAACTTAATCTGGAACATACTAACATACATAAACGGGACGGCCTTGGTGCCTTCAACCCGTTCCTACTGGAGGAAAACTCACCTCATAAGCTAACTGCGAAATCTCGTGTGAGCAATCTCTGATGGCTGCTCCAACGACTCCCCGACTATCAT